GAGAGAGAGAGAGAGAGGGAGGGAGGGAGGGAGGGGGATGGGGGGAGAGAGAGAGAAATAGAGAGAGAGAGAGAGAGAAGGGGAGAGGGAGAATATGACTGTGAATGAATGGAGAGAGAGACGGTGAAAGTTTAAATCTGTGATTGTCATGTGAACAATCCACACAGGAGAGAATTGCGTTATCATTCCCCATCATTTGCACAAAGAAAACAAAGAAAGGGCAGATGATACAGTACCTCCATGGTCTGAGACTGATGCATGGCTTTGATTGCATTCTGTGCCATTGCCCTTGTAGAAAATGTGACAAACGCACAGCCTGTGGGAAACAAGGGGACAGGGAGCAGGAAAGACAAAAAACAACAAGACAAAAGGGTTGGACGCTTGTTAAACCAACACGGTCTACGAGAACTGCCACAGGACGACACTGTTCTCAGTAGTACATAAAAATAAACAACTTCTCTCTTTGGTTTCATCTTATTTTGCTTTTTATGCACAGTGCTGACTTCTGAATCTGACCGCAGCAGAAAGATGTTGATTGATTAGTTTATTTTTTAAAAAATGGAGACGGGGGAAGAAAGCTGGGTGCTCTTTTTTTTTTTTAGCCATGAGGTTTGGAATTAGCAAGATCTAGTTTGCATTTTCTAAAATAAAAAGTTGCTATTTTACATTTCTGCCTGAGTGATCATCTTTTCTTAGGGCACCCATATACTAGAGCTCTAGATTTCAAATTTTAGCATCGATTTTTAAGCAGCAAATAATAAAACCTTCACAGCAAGGGCAAATGAGCAAATAAATTCCAAGAGCCCAAAATGTCAGCAAATAAATATATCTAATCTCTTCTGGGTAGTTAAAAAAATATATATGTATAAATATACATTGATGCCATTCAAATGCAAACCAATATACCAAATGCTGTACAAACTAGTACTTACTATGAACAAAAATAAACGTTCTTTTACTCTGAGAAGATTTAACAGTGCATATAAAGCAAAATTCTAAAATTTGCATTGGATTTTTTATTTGTATAGCATCTTCATGACCTTTGAAAGTTGTGACTTTTGATACGTATCAGAGATTTGACCTAAAATCTAACATTCACAAGACAATGTACATTTCTCTGAATGTTTCCTGTGAAACCCATTGAACTCTCCGTGGCTATTTTTTTTTCTTGTTCTGTGAAATAACTAGAATGTACAGTGCCTCTTACTGCTCCTTGAATCACGATGGCCACCAAGTAGGCCACTGCTCCAACTACATGGCCCATTGCCTTTTTCACTAATAAAAACACTGCCTTTTGGAATTTACATTTTATTCATCATGTACCCTTGGGCTTCCTAGAGAAAAAGACTGTGAAATTAATGCAGATTCAGGTTGATTTTATAATAAAACCACAGCACACTAAAAGCCTGGCTAAAGCCACGCAGACTGATTTCGCTTATGATCTCTGATGACTTATTTAAAAGAACACTGATTTTCAGCTTCTTTAGCCTTGCCCAGTTTGAACTTAGGTTTCAGAGAACAATTTAATGTTCCACTCAATTTCCTCAAAGCATTATTATTATTACTACTTAAAAGATTCCCAAATGAAGCAGATCTAAACACTAAGAGGCCTGTTGTCATCCCAGAGTAAATGCAGGAAAGCGAAATTCTGGCCTCGAAAACGCGAGAGGGTAGCCCCCGTTGCCAGCAAGCCAAATAGAGCGTTCTACATCCAAACAACCAGCGACTGTTTGGTTCGTGTAAACCAATTTGTGAGCCACAAGCTATATTTCCTTTTTTCGCTCTGCCCGTGTACCTGGTGAGATTATCAAGTCAGTGCTGTGTTTAATCAGATGGCAGCGCCTGCCCTCTGAACCCAAAGCACAGCAACATCCGGTCATAAAAACAAGTCAGTGCATTTTTTTTTCTTTTTTCTTTTTTTTTTGCATGATGCTGTAATTTTTAACACACAAAAGCTCTCAGTGCATGGGAGATCCAGCTCACGTTCGCCTCCCAGTGAAACCGCTGGCCTTCTGAAGCCTGAAGTACAGCTCGCTATGGATGCTGAGACGTTTCATATAGTTCTCTGACATAAGAGCAGCTGGCGACGCTTTTATTTCAACATGCTGCCTGTGCCTATACTGGCTGCAGCTTTTGTCATCAATAAAAGCAATTTGGCGCCCTTCTCTCAGGCACCTGGATAATGTGTGTAATAGGGTGTGAGACAGATGACAGTCCCTCTACTGGCTCCCATATTGATAACTCATCTCTAAAAATGAGAGCGTCCCAAATCCACCATCCGTTTCACAGTCGCAGCTCTTCAAAAAATATTGTCATTATCGCTGTCATTATTAACAGAGGAAATAACACTGAGCGTTTCCTTTTTTTCCGTGCCTTATCTTGAGACTATAGTGGAGGCAAAAGCAAATGATCTAACGGAAATGTGACCTGAAACCATGCGAAGCCTGGACTGACTCTGCTTTGAAGAGCCAAAGAGATTGTTTTGTTCATTTCATTTGCTCTTCTTGTCCAGGAACGTGCGCCAAACTGACAGTTTCCAAACAGAGGTTAAATGCATAAGAAAACATATAAAATGTCAGCAAAAATCAATCGGGCACCGTTTATGCATTTACTCCGGTTTTGGAACCAGCAGAAATTTTGTAAATAACACAGAGAGAGAGAGATATAGTAATGAACAGGTCTCCGAAGAAACATTATCAGCGCTAGAACAATAAAATCATATCTCTATAAACTCAACTCGTTGCCCTTTCATCTATGAAACCTGCAATTAAAGCCCGACTGATGCTTCTAATTATACGATCCTCATCCCATCCAAAAAAACAAAACAAAAAAAAAAACAAAAAAAAACAAAAAAAAAACCATCTGACAAATCTGATGACTTCTTTTAACCTTTTTACTCGATTGGCAGTGCTGCAGGAAGGGTGAGGCTGTCTCTTTAGGGGCTCTGTCAAGTTCTGCACTGTCTGCTGCGCTCGATTACTTAAAAGAGAAAATTACTGTGTCATTTACAAAGTGAGAGCGTCCGCTGAAAAATTTCACTCTCTATGCTGCCCAGGATGAAGTTAAGCAACTTCAGAACCGAATGTTCGTGGACTGGTAGCTTGTTAACCTTTGTAATTTCTCTCAAACAGGAGGTCACGGTTATGTTATGGCTAAGTTTCAATTTTCTTTTCAACACTGCTGACAAGGTTGTGATGGTTTTAGGATTAGGCCTCAAATCTATGGCGTTTCGCTAAGATCTCACCACCGAGACTGGCTGCCGGCTCCTTCTACAAGCCACCCAGACAACTTCCCATTGGACAGGAATAACTTAGATGATAACTGCCCACTTCGTCTTCTTCTAAGAATGGGCTTCTGGGTGCAATGGGGTTCACTGGGTCTTGACAGGACAACTGCTCTGCTCTTATAGGGTCGGGCCATGCCCCAACTTTTCTAGACTGTTGTATATGCTGTGTCAGTGGTCAGTTCTCTGCCTATCGACCAAAATGCAAAAGAAAGTTGATCGGGGAGAAAAGACACAGGTGCCAAAATAATGAAGCTGCATTTTTTTGGGGGGGGGAGGGGCGGGGGAGCTGGGAATTAGTTAAGACAGCCTGTACATTACTGTCTTAAAACTTCTAAATATATAATAGCAAAAAAAAAAAGAAAAAAGAAAAAAAAAAGGAAAATTTCCATTTGTAAATGCGGCCAACCTGCAATTTACACCTTGCAATTATTTATTGTCTCCACTTTCAGAATGTCAGAGATTGCTAATAGAAGTGGAAAGGAGTTGAATTCCTCTCATTTCGGTAAGGTTGCCTTCTTGCTGCTCAAACGGATAAATGATTGACTGGGGAAAGGTTTCTCAAAGTAATTTCCTCCTACAGACAGGACCTAAGGAAAGCACGTAGCCCTGTCACAGAGAAGATTCTGGAACACATCTATTACACGTGTCATTTCAATTGAAAGGGTATTTTAACTCTCAGGTGTCCCACCTCTTCTCTTGGCGGCAAGAGATGTTTTAGAGAAGTGGATGACTCCTTGCCCTGCACAGAAGCACAGGCACTTTTGAAAGCACATGCAATGCCAGGGCTTCTCGCTCTTCTGCAACTTCTTTGAAAGAGGCGCAGCAGCCTGCTGTATTTCAACTGAAGGAAGCATAATTTAAAATAACTCCTGCAGCATGAAGGAGATTTCAGTCTATGGAAAACTTGTTTATAAATTCCCACCCAGCCGAAAAAAGATCGCGAGGCGGCCAATTTTCCTCCCTGTATCTTTTTTAGCAGTGGCAGGGGTTATTAAACATATGCTATTGGTATAATATTGAAGCATCAAAACTGACGCTCTCACGCACCATCCCCAATGTCTGTTTAAAAGTGGCATGGAGCGATCATTCGTTCATAGCACCTGAGGTTAAGTGCAGACTAGGACTTAACGGTTGGCAAAATCTCATTCTGGAAATGAGACTGAAAGACTGTATTCAGACAAAGACAACAAGATGCGATTAATAACCCAGGAGGGGGTATCTGATTAAAGTTTCTTCGTGTTTGAATGCTTAGGTGCCGTCCACATGGGCAAGTCTAAAGTCTCGTGATCCAGACCGAGTCCCCCACTGTGTACATGTTTTAAGAGTCAAAAGCCCTATCCTAACATCCTGACCAGATTAACAAAAAACAAACGAGGATTTAATGGCTGAATCCAGTTTGTGCTTGCCAACATCCCTAAAAATATTGCCAATTCATTTGTCAAGGGTTTTGGCAGGAGCATGTTGGAACATCATAAACAAGGCTAGGATATTCTTAAACAAGCAGACAGCTACCTTAAATGGCAGTGAAGATGTGACTCCAGTTTATGGGAAAGAAAAATGAAATAAATTTTTTCATTGTCTTTGAGTTATAGATATTCAGTTGCCATGGTGCAGAACACTCTGTAAACTGTACCCAAACAGTCCATGCTGACTGTGGGATTATGGGTCAATGAGGACGTGTGCATTTTAGGAAAATCGACATGGTAGGATAACACCGTCATAAACGCACCGGCTCAGAAGCCTCAAGCTTCGGTTTTGAGAGCAAACACCTCGCCGGACTGGCCACGTGTGGGCTCATGGCTGTTTGCTTCCCCATCGAAGGCTCGTGCGGCAGGCCTGAGGGGCTGATCTGCCATGGCAGAAGGAGCCGAGGGTGAGGGGGGTGCTCGAAAGCATCTCAAACCAGGTTTTCCAAGCCAGGCAAGAGGGCGGAATGGGCTGCTGCCCTCTTTTTGGATGTGGGCGCACACACCCTGCTGTGTGCTGGGTGGCTTCGATGCGCCCGGTGGGGGTGAGTGCCGTCTCTGTGGTCACGATAGCTTTCTGGGCGT